ATAGAACATTCTGTGAAATTCCTTTAAAACGCTACTCCTTCTACAGTTTTAGTTTGATTTCAAAATAAGTTGGCACACAAGTAGACTACACAAAGATACATAAAATAGTGCAATGGTTTTTGATAAGTACAAACCAGTAGAGCTACAGTCTCGACAGAGACTTCTGGTTTTTTAACTGACAGTGTGATTTTATGGTGTCTATTATGTTGCATGACTGAGTAACAATTATACATGTATGTATTGATGTACTGAACATGTTTTTGTAATTGTGATCATATTTTATTACAAATATCTTCAGAAGATACAGAAATGCATGTATTTGTGTATGTGGAAAAGAGCCTTAAAAATTTTTTGTTGCTACTTTTAGCTTGAAGATGTGACCCGATTAAGGGAGATAAATCGTCGTCTACAGGCAGACATACAAGTGATGACCCGGGAGATTGACATGTATAACAATGGTCAAAGTAAGATTGCACATCACTGAAAGTTACTGATCTGATAAAAGATCTAATTACATGTAATACAAGATACAAGGCTGATAAGTAATGACCTTGACCTTCTGTGAGTAGTATTGGTAGCGTAAGAAGACATGACTCACATTTGGAATAGACCACACTGTCATGTTCTAAAAATAGTATCGACTCAGAGACTGACACATCCTTGTATAAATACAGAAGTGAATTATGATGTTGATATCAAACTTTTGATATAATTGTATGTATATTTTCATATAAAACATTGAAAAATATAAAATATTCAGAAAATTTAAAATTAAATTTAATTTGATGGATTAACTACTTTGTAAATTTCTGTTGAAGAGCAAAAAGAAAAATTAATGAGTTTTTGTTATTTTAGCTCCACTTGGTGTATTAGACCCTCTAGAACAACAGAACTTTTATAACAACATGAATACTGGCCCCCAGGGATCCATTTATTCCAGACCTCCCCCTCAGACCCCTTCACGAGAAAGTAAGTACCTGTCCTCCCCAACTAATGTGCAAATGTCAAAGGATATTTTATTTTAAAAATATTTCATTTTCTCTCTCTGTAGGAAAAAATTGATTGCTGTATCTTAAAGGATTTTTTTATGTGATAAATTCATGATAATGACACCACAGAAAATTGATTCTAAAATGTGTCTTGTATTATTTTTTGTAAAAAACAAAACTTGCGTTTGCCACTTTTCAGCACCACCTCCTATTCCTCCCCGGACGCCGATCACCACGCCAACCACTGCCTTGATACCGCCGGCGCCCCCACCCCAGCCCCAGCAGGACTCGGACGGCGACGGCGAACCCTGGAATTGCTCAGCCTGTACTTTTCTTAACCATCCAGCTCTGAATAAGTGTGAATGTTGTGAAATGCCCCGAATGAACACCTCTCCTCCTACCACAGGTACTGTTACCACAGGTATTGTCCGCCATGTTTGTACATCCGAATTATGCTATTGTCATAATAGATGAAGGTTATATCCTCTGACTTTTGACCTTTTGATTTTATTCATTCATCTTACCAAGGGAGATGACTGGGGAAATTCATTATGAAACTGTCAACTTGAATATATGCAAGTAGCTGAGTAATTTTATTCCAAATGTTTTATTTTTGGTTTAGTATTTTCCTTTTTGGGGAAGTATTTTTATGATAGTAGTTTTTTTTTTTTTTTTTAAACCTTATTATTATGGAATTAAAATTCCTGCTAATTTGTCTCAATAAGCAGATAAGCTGATTTGTAAGTGAAAAGTGATTTCTTGTAAGTTGTTGAATGAAAAATAATTTTGCACATGTTAAGGCCTTCAAAAGGAAACATTGCATATTTATATACCTACATGAAATTTTCTTTTTTAGTAAAGGGTTATCGTGATTATTGTCAAAATTTTTTATTTATTCTAAATATTTATTTCCCGTAATCATAGATAAACATTACAGGCACCTTTCACAAGGTCTTTTATAAAAAAAAAGTTTGGAAGTGAATGCCTCTGTATATTTATGAAGACAATGAAGATTCGAGAATATTTTCTTCACTGTGATATGATAGTTGCCTATGGATGATAGTTTTTTTCCTGACGTCTGATGTACCTTGTTATACAAATCAATGCAGATTAAATCCTGTACAGTTCTGAATTTGTGTACATACATTTCATAGTTTGAATAAAATCTAATCAAACTGGACAATTTTTTGTTTTATTCTAAGAAATGAGCAATAATACATTGTAGATCATATGAACTCTAGAACAGATAAGCATGGCTTTGTCTATATGTTAAAAGAACTTTCCAACCACCTTTTTCAGTTTCTTTGCATGTTTAGAAGGTGCAAAGTTTTACTTTGCTTTTAGGTCTTAGATACACATTAAAGAAGCAATATACATTGTACTTGTAGTAGCACAATTTTAATTTTGCATGAAGTCATATTTAAAATCTTTATTTCCTGGTTAATAATACAAATTTTTTCAGCAGTTTAATTTTGCCTCAATGGTTTAGATAAAATGAATATTATTATTTTGGGCTTCAATGTGTTTGCAGTAAGGGAATTTTTTAGAGCATTGTTTTCTTCTTTCTTTTATTTTGCATGCCTGTTTATTTCTATCCTTTGCTTGATTCTTTCCAGGGACGCCCTCCTGAATGATCTGAGTGTGTTGAGCAAACTTGACACGTTAAAAAAGTGACCATTTTATACAAGATCCAACCCTTTAAAGGAGGACAGTTTTCTTGGAAGAAATCAAAAGATCGCTTTTCTTTGTCAGAATATTAGGCTAATTTTCAGTTTGTGTTGGATTTAATTTTAAAATGTTAGGATTTACAATGTGTTTAAAGATGATCTTTTACATGACTGAGTTTTAGAAAGGGGGATTATGTTTGAAATGTACTGAGAGTACTTCAGATTTTTAATTGTATTTTTGTATGAGATACATACCTACCTTGCCGTTTTAACTTGCAGTTTTTGTCTTTGAATGTTACATCAGGATTCCTGTTTTAATTTTCTGTTATCCTTAATTTTTATTAGCTTTTTTCCCCTTTCCTCAAGCAACTTGTAACAGAAGGCCTGTATAATGATTGACAAAATTCAGATTTTTTTTTAATCCTCTTGCTTCTTTTTTACTGTTAAAATCAGGATATCAAAAGGCAGCATTAAGTACAAGTAATTTAACTTTCGAAAAGGTTATTTAAAAAAAAAAGATCAAAGATGCTGTAAATGTACATCATTTTCGAAGTCATAATTCTGCATTTTTGTTTACGGTAATTTGAATGTAGCAAATTAAATGGATTTCTTGGATTGCCTTTTGAGCTTACTATGTAAAATAATTCGACATTCACATTTTTTTTTGTTCTTTTTGCAATTAATGTCACAAATGCTGGATCTGCCCCTAATTATTTCCGCATTCTCCCCCCCCCCCCCCCCAAAAAAAAAGACTCGTGCTTTTCTTTTTATTTTCATTTCATTGTATTCGGAAATCCTTAATACTCTATATATAGATATCTCCCAGATGTTTCTCCTTTTCCCCAAATTTGTTATTGAAGAGGCTTTGAAAACATGAAAGTCACAAGTAAAGGTCATGTTGAAAAAGTTTTAACTAAAAGATTAAGGGTGAATACATGTGATAACAGAAGAAAAATGTCTAATCCTGCTTAATTGCCATAAGTGAAATGAGGCTTTGTTCATAGAAAGGGCTAACCAATATGTATAAGCTTTGTTTTGATTTATTTCTAAAATAAAATTTACATACACCCGATAATCATTCTCACTTCAAGATAGCTCACAGGTTGGGTCAAAGTTATATGAAATATGCTGGACATCTATGTATATTTTTCGTTGTTATATTCATATGACTTGCAAAATATGTTTTGCTAATTTACATGTGTATTTTCTCTTTGGTTGTGCTTATTTTCAAAGTAGAAAATTAACTTAATACTGCAGTATATCTGATGGCTTTCATGATGAAATGCATTTATATCCTATTTGCACAGTACATGCATGTTGACTGATCTAGAGATTCTAATGTGCACAACTAATTATTTTTCTTCCTGTAAATCAGAATGCTTTTGTTATTTATGCTTAGTTTCTTTATTAAGTTTTTCTCTCTTTTTGTTTAGCATTACAACTTGCATTCATGAAAGATCAGGAAAGAAAATATTAGGTATACATCATATGTGATAGCTTAGCAGCTCATAAGTTTGACTTTGGCTGGATCATGGATTTTTCAAATACCATTGTGATGTCAAAGTCATTTGGAAGTTTAGACCATTTTTCTTTTACATGTATTTTGACCTCAATATTTTCAGTCCTTTGATATCTCATCCCCACTGAGTTCTACAGAACAAGGTTTTACGATACTTGTTAAGTGACAAATATTACATCTTTAAAAATGTTCATTAAAAACTCCAGTCTAGTCAAAGATGAAGAAACTTCTGATTTATTATCTGTTCATGAAATCGGTGTGCAAAAATACAATTCGCATTTGATACCCAATTTCATTTATTACTTGCATTCACAAAGAAAATAATACCATTCATAAATGCTTGTTGACATTTTTGCCAATTGCTAGTACTTGAATATCCTGATAAACTTTTCCCATTTTTGAAATTTCGAAGGAAAAAGATTTTTTTTAAAAATATTTTCTTTTCTTTTAAAAGGATATACTGTTAACAGTTTATGTATAGAATGAGTGAAATTCAAAAGTTGTTGCTAGATTGAATTGTGCAGATATAAGGTGTGATATATATCGAGATTCATGCATGAATTGTAATAACTGCTTGGTATATGATTTAAATGATAAAGCAGTGTAAGATGTACTGCACAGTAATATATTGTTGTTCACATTTCATATATAATATATATGAAAAATTATGAATAAATAAAAATTGTTACAATTAAAAGATATTGAATTCAGTTTATCTTTTAAATATGTAGGTAGAGGCAACTCAATTTTACAGATATCGGATGAAGAAATACTGTATACAAGGGAATTTTTGCCCTACCCTCATTTACAATTTAAAACGGGGCAATGCAGTATAATTCCTAAACAAAACTTTGACACGGTGAATTTAAAATGGGGCAAAATTGTATGAAAGTGTGAAAATAACTCTGGGTGAAAAAACCTTGTAAACAGTACTCCGTATAAATAGTATGAGGAAATACTTTATACAGGGTTATTTTTGCCCCGCTTTATTTTCGCCCTTTTACACTTTCAAACAATTATGCCCTGTCTGAAATTCGTCCAGTTACAGTTCTGTTTAAGAAATTATGCTGTATTCTTTGAATTCGCCCAAACAAGGATGGGGCGAAAATAATACAGGGGTGAAAATTTCCCTGTATACTGTAACCTGTCTCTGACATGGACAATAGCTGCCAAAGTCTTCCGAAGTTGTTGTTGAAATTGGTTTCAATTTATTTTCAGTCTCTCAGAGGCTTAGTCATATCTCGCAACCACTTGGCTCTGACAACATAGCCCAAAACATTCAAAGACAGAAGCAAAAGGAAAACCGAAGAAAATGTAGTAAACAGAAATTCTAATGTTCACTGGGGTTTTTTTCAACCATTAAACAAAATTTTCAGCTCTACTGAGCTGGAGATTCTAGTGAGGGTTTTTTCTTTTAATGACTAGGCCTGGAGACCGTGAACTGAGAACAGACATGGGAAAAAAGTTCAATTTTCTATAGCTTGTCATAATATATACTTTATCAAACATTGGCAGGTTTGTAAAATATTTCAATATAAACATTTGTAAAAAAAAAAAAAAATTGTTTTGTTGTTATCAAAATTATTTCAAAAGTTATTTTGATTTGAAAATTTGACTTAAGTCTGTTCTCAATTTATGATCTTGGAGCTAGATTACATTTCACCTTAATTATGTTTAGCTGTCTGTCCATCTGTATTTTTTTTTTTAATTTTCGAAATACTTCACAAGAACCATGCACTGAGCCAATTTCATCCAAACTGCCACAAACTACCTTAGGAAAAGGGGATTCAAATCTGTACAAGGGAAGGGCCACACCTTTTTCTGAAGGGAAATCATTTAGGCCATGCAAAGTTAATTCCTTAGTTCTCAGGCCTTTTTTCAAGAAATATGACGAGGGAGGGAGGCATTTTTAAGGTCTTCCGTCTTCACGGAAGACCTTTAATACCGTAAATCTGGAAATTTTTACGTCGATTTTATTTTGCGAATCTGGGTCAAAATGCTGTTAATTAATTTTTACGTTTCAAAATTTTGCGAAAGACCACTACTTTGTTTACATTTTCTTACTGTTGAATTATTTTTAAGAAAAATATTTTTACGAATGCTATTAACTCGCAAATTTGCTAAAAATTTATCTACAGCAAAAATTTCCAGATTTACGGTAATTCTTTTTATTATTTTTTAGACTTTCTAATTTTGTGTCCGCGATTTCTCGAAGACTACTGGATGGAATTACATGAAATATTCAGAAATGATGTATCGTAACATGAACTTGACCTATCTGAGCGATTTTTTGAAAATTCTTATCTGGTGCCAAGTTATGGACCTTTTTCTGAATTTAAAATGGCATTTTGTCCGCGGTTAATCTCAAGAACGGTACAAGATATCAATGTGAAACTTTCAGGGATTATAGATCGTGATAGATACTAACCAGGATGCGACCTTTCGTTCGTCGTCATTACTTCCGGTCTTTTGGACAAGCGAATTCAAAAATTGTATTTTCTAACCTTTTTGTTTTTCAATATTTTTCAATTCTTGGAATGCTAATAGAGACCCTTATTAAAACGCTAAATATATAATTTGTTTAAATATTGGTAAATCTGAACTCTAGATATTAACATTTAAAAGTCTGAAGCGTGTTCAAAATGGCGGCTGTCTCCGTCAACTCCGCCATTTCGCAAGTGGGGGTTTATGGAGGCAGCCGAGCGTTTGCCGAACTAACATAAGGATAAATGTAATGTAAAAGTCTACTTGGATTGTCACGTAGTAGTTACGTTGCAATACTGTGTAAAACTCAAGCTTAATCGCCGTTTCACTGCTTTAGTGTCACTTGGCTAGATACCATATGTAATGTGTACTATGTGTTAAATGTACCGGGTACTTTCTAAACCTCGAAATAAAATATAGGCGATACGAACGTTCTATTTTTATTTAATTTCATTGAATCAATCACACCTATTTAATAGAAAATTACAAAGAAAAGACGCAAATATTTACTCGCGGCGTCTGGCGCAAAATTGTGAATACTGACCCTTTTTTCATAATTCTAAGACTGGTATACTGTTGTAGAAGTATAAACAAGTAAATTTAGAGTATAGCTCCAAATAGCGTAATGGATAGCTTGCTGGACTTTCACGCTAGTCACCCAGGTTCAATCGCCCGTGTGTCAAAATTTTTTATCCACATTTCAGCTCAATTTTACGTGGAATGTTTTCCAGAATCGGACGGAAGACCTCTCGTTGCTCGCAACGAGATCGTATCTATTTTTTTTATTCTTTTTTATTGCCCCCAAAACATGAACAAAGAACAAAATGACAAATTGCCATTTATATTGAATTAAATGGTCGCGAAATGTAGGCGGGAATCGAGAGTTAGCGTGCGTATTTCTTTCATATTTCCTATTTTGCTCTAAATTGTACGTGAAAATGTAAGAGTTTCTTATTTTGAAATATAAAATCTTACAGAGAAAATAATCAATAAAATAATTTGGAATATTAAAAGAATTTCAAGCT